ACTATGAAAATGGTGAAAAATTTTTCAGAGAAAATCATATGGGGTTTCCCAAGGTACCCATCTCCGCCGCCGAGCAAATCCGCCCCAAGATTCATGATATGGCTAATCCTCTTCGTTTCAGCCATTTACGTCTACTACGCAGTGAAGCTTCTTTCCTCTTCACATTGTGATGTAGATATTTTTGGTGCTCGACGTTTGCCTTTAGACAATCCCTCAAACCATACAGTCCCTTTATCTCATAATCCCAAGAACACGCTTCATTTGCCCGATTTGAGGCAAAAAACCCTAGGAAATAACAGAACAGAATTAGAACACATTGTTTTCGGCATAGCTGCTTCGTCCAAGCTGTGGGACAAGAGAAAAGAGTACATAAAGCTGTGGTTCAAGCCTGAAAATCGAATGCGTGGAGCCGTTTGGCTCGACAAGCCCGTGAAAATTCAAGAAAACGAGACCAAAAGTCTCCCTGAGCTGAGAATCTCAGGCGATACTTCTCGTTTTGCCTATGAGAACAGAAGGGGCCACCGCTCGGCAATCCGGATTTCTAGGATTGTGTCTGAGACTTTGAGGTTGTCTGGTAAAAGGGATTATAATAGTAATGTGAGGTGGTTGGTGTTGGGAGACGATGATACTGTTTTCGTGACAGATAATTTGGTGAGGGTTTTGAATAAGTATGATCATAATCAGTATTATTACATTGGGAGCTTGAGTGAGAGCCATTTGCAGAATATACATTTCTCTTATTCGATGGCTTATGGTGGAGGAGGTTTTGCCATAAGTTATCCTTTGGCAAAAGCTCTTGAGAAGATGCAGGATAGATGTATAGAGAGGTATCCTAGGTTGTACGGCTCGGATGAAAGGATACAGGCTTGTATGGCCGAACTCGGAGTTCCACTCACGAAAGAACTTGGCTTTCATCAGGTGGATTTGTTATTTATTTATTTGTTTATTCATTTATTGTATTATGCTTTTTGCTAGATATTAATGTTGTTGTGATTGTATTTCCATATCTTGGATTCTGTTTTTTTCTTTTTTCTTTTTTCTGAGAGGGTACAAGAAATTAGAATTTTCATCAGAGGTTTGAGTGAAAAAAAAAATTGTTGGCCTGATTCTATTTGGTTCAGATGCACAAGGCTAACTCGATCAGTAACTTGTTGATGCTAATGGTTAGATCAGTTCTTTATTTTTATTTTTTTTTTTCGCGCTGATTTTATGCGTCAGAGGGGTTGTAATATAGGAGCAATTGGCATATGATTTGCTTCTCAAGTATACTGGAAATGTGAAATAAAGGTAGCAATAAGGTGGAGTTTTCTTCATCTCAGAAGCTGTGATTTCTGATATATAGCATTTCAAAATTCGAATTCCTAATAAGCCTTTCATGTTACGTAATAATTTCAGAAAATTTGTATGATGTGTTTAATGGAAGTCAATAACCATACAAATTCGAAACATTTTGCAGTTCAATGATTGTCATCATTTTGACCTGTTTTCTTAACCTATTCTAACTCCGTATTTTTTTGTTCGAGTGACAATTTTTTCAGTACGATGTGCACGGCAACTTATTTGGGCTCTTAGCAGCACACCCCATCACGCCTTTAGTTTCCCTTCACCACCTAGACATTGTCGAGCCAATCTTCCCAAACGTAACCCGAATAAAAGCACTCGAGAGACTCCAAATCCCCATGCAGCTCGACTCAGCTGGTCTAATGCAGCAGTCCATTTGCTACCACAGAACTAACACTTGGACAGTGTCGATATCTTGGGGATTTGCTGTCCAAATATTTCGCGGGGTTTTGTCACCACGCGAGATCGAGATGCCTTCCAGAACTTTCTTGAATTGGTACAAACGGGCTGATTACACAGCGTACGCTTTCAACACGAGGCCCGTTATGAGGAATCCTTGTCAGAAGCCATTTGTTTTCTATCTGTCGAGGGCGAAAATGGAATTACGTAAGAATACAACGGTTACTGAGTACAGTCAGCATCGTGTTGCTAATCCCGAATGCAAGTGGAAGATGGCGGACCCTACGGATATTCGTCGGGTCGTGGTTTACAAGAAGCCCGATCCTCATCTTTGGGACAGAGTAAGTTGAAAAAATTATTATTATTATTATTATTATTATTATTATTCTTTTAATTTTCTGCCCCATTCGCTGTTCGACTTTATATTTCAGTCCTTGTCTATGAAAATTCAGGCTGCCTTTCGTAATTTTGAGAAACCTTTGCGTGCTTCTTTTGTAAATACACAAACATCAAGTTTTTTCTTCTTAATATATAGTTTGCTCCAACGTGCCTTTCATGTGTTGCAGAACCTTCTGANTTTTAAAGTTGTTTTTTCAGTCTCCAAGGAGAAACTGCTGCCGGGTCTTGAGTTCGAAGAAGGATAGCTTGGTTTTTGATGTGGGTGTATGCAGCGAAGGTGAGATCAGTGAAGTATGAAAATGGTGGCACGTTTGGCTGTATCGATTAATTTCGACCTTTACTGCCTGTTGTTTTTTCTGTATTTACATGATACTTGATAGGGAATAGTGACAATTCTTGAAAGTTTATATCACAGGAAGCCCGGGAAATTTGATTTCAGAGTTGTCTTATATTGTGTATGTAAGCTAGAAATAGAAGAATAATGTCTAGCACAAAACAAATTGAACAATGCACACTTTCGAAAGTCGATCCTATTAACAAATAAGTTAGTTTCTACAGCTTCACGAACCCGGAAAGGAAAAAAAAAAAAATATTGCGAATCACCTATAATAGATAATAAAGGAGTAAAATTAAGATATGTACAATTTACACAAAAGCTCAATCAAGGTACACAATGCAAACTGCCTCCATCCTGAATACTTATAGTTTTAAGCATAAAGCTATTCACTTCAAGAGAACATTAAAACCACGTCTGGGTTGCTTTTTTGCTACTACCAGTTTTGTCACATGCTATGAACAGATTTGCTGAAGCTCAGTATTCGCCTTTCGTTGAGGTATCTGATATTGTGGGTAGCATATTAAGGAAACTACCTTGCGACTGTTGAGTGGATGATGAGTTTGACTCGTCACCTGTTAAATTTAAGAGAATAACATGTGAGGAAAAAAAGAAAAACATGACGACTGATTTTATACTTCATATATAGGGAATATGATATAATAGCAGAGNAAACAAAGAGAAACACAAAAACAATAATTCACATGAATGAAGCGAAACCAAAAAGGCAAAAAAAAAAATAAAAATAAAAATAAAAATAAAATAGCCAACAGTGGGACCAGTCAATACTTTTACTCGAAATCATAATATGCTGCATTTTACTCGAAACAGAGATGATGATTGATGACAATGATAAGATATGCATGGAAGGAGTTACATACTTATTCCCGGAACATCGTGATCATTAACAATTTCAAAATTCTTGTAGGTGTAACCCATAAAATTGACATCCTTAGACGAAAGCATCTGCAAGCATGAAGATAAAGTCAATCTCATCTTTGTTACATCAGTAAAAAAAAATTAGTACGCAATAAAAGAATGAGCACTGCGGATAATGATGATAGATCTTGTTGAAATTATTAAGTCTTCCAAATTCAACTTGACACACCATTTAATCACACAATAAGATAAAAACGTCATGCTGAGTATATAATGGATTCATCAAAAAGCCTCACTCAACAAACATATGTTATACGCTAGCAGAACCAGTAACTTAACTAACTACAAACTGAATTTAACAGTCTCCAAAAAAAAAAAGTGATTGACAGATTTTTAGTTCAGTTTTGAATGGCAACTTCTACTTAGAAATGTGATGCTTTAGATGAATTTATCATTTTGTGGTCTGAGACTTGCTAACGAATAAGCAGAACAATTTATTCATCTACAACTCTCTCTTTACCTGGTTCAACTTCTGGTTTCTATCTACTAACACTAATGCTAAACTACTTTGTTCGGGATAACCAAGATGCAGATAAAATTTATAACCACTAATTTTACAGAGCAAGATTCCATATGAATAGAAGAAAGTGTTCCATTTCAGACAGCAAAAATAGATAAAAACATGGATAAGTAGTATTTCCCCCACCTTCCTCCAGGGGCCGGATTTTGTAGCTGATTGGATTTGACTGTCAGACTGAAAAAAATCAAGCCCATGAGTCCAGAGAAAAACCAAAAATGGAAAATGAAAACTTAAATGTATATCAGAAAAGGAGAAAAACCTCTTCGAACTTTTCAAAGTTTTGAGTATCTAGTTCATCATTAACTTCTGGAATGAAAGCAGCTTTCATTTGATATAATTTGTTCCAATCCATGCCTTGGAACCATGGATGAGCCTGAAAAAAGGGTAAATAGGTAATTTGCTTTGCCCGACATGAAAAAAGAAAAAAGAAAAGCCGGTTTCCTTTTCTAACCTTAATTTCGTGAGCACCTCTAGTGCCAAGCCTTTGATCTACATTACACAAGAGTTTACAGATAAGATCCTTAGCTTCCACTGATAGCTTTGCCTCTTCTGGAAATTTCAAATATGTTCTCCAGTTTACTATCTACAATAAAATAAAAGGAATACATAACACAATCAACTTTACGAAATCCATTCACTTAAATCATTTGGTATTTGGAATACAATGTTCGAAATTGATGCAACAAATGGAAAGCAGCACTTCAATATCATAAAACAAGGGAAAAAGAATCCATTATTACCTTCCTACATGTAGACATTGGCTCATCGGAATAGAATGGTGGATAACCCACAAGCATCTCATACATGATAGCTCCAAGAGACCACCTAGCCATAGACACGTGACCCACATATTTCGATCAGGAAAATTTAACTTTTTCTTTTCTTCCAGATGAAAAAGGAAAACACTTAATGCATACCAATCACATTCCATTCCATATCCTTTCTTCAGTAACACTTCCGGAGCAATATAATCGGGTGTACCAACAGTTGAGTAGGCCTAAAATATGAAAAGTAGAGGAAAATTCAATATTGCTGAGCTTATTTATCGATAGAACTATTTAATGCAGGAAGTTCAGTTAAGGATGAGGCTGAGCTTATTTATTGATAGAAAACTTACGAGCATTCGCCTATTACGCTGCCAGTGCTGAAGTTGCTCTTGCTGAGTGCGTTTTCGTGCTGCAGGCCGCCCGTCACTTTGAAGGGCCCCACTATAGTTATTCCCTACAGAGAAATCCTTTTCTTGAATATTACTGCAATCCAATGGTTTGCATAATCCGAAATCGGACAGCTTCATGTGTCCATTTCTATCAAGGAGCAAGTTATCAGGCTTGATATCCCTGAGAAAAGGTACAGAGAGAATAGTGATAAAATACCATAACAAGAACAGATGGACATTTTCGTACCAAATTATTCAGAATATAGTAGAAACAAAACAAACCTATGAATATAATTGTGTTTGTGGATAGATTCGATCGCAAGAACAGTTTCCCCTACATAGAACCTGGCTTCGTCTTCTGTTAATATATCTTTACGCATCAGTAGAGTCATCATATCTCCCCCAGGAAGATATTCCATTATTAGGTATAAATACTCTTCGTCTTGGAAAGAACAGTAAAGCTTGACAATGCAGTTGCTGTCGACTTCTGCTAGTAAATTCCTTTCAGCTTTTACGTGCTCAACCTTGACAAAAAAGATTTGAGGAGATAAGGAAATAAACGATAATATAGAGAAACAACAGTTTAAAATGATAAACGTATTTCTACCTGGCCTCGACGAAGCATTTCTGATTTCTTAAGTTTTTTCATTGCGTAAACATGGCCAGTTGACTTCTCGCGACAGATTCTAACCTGCAGCAGGCAAAGACTCCAAGTTACTGAGAGAGAGAGAGAGGGAGAGAGAGAGAGGGAGAGAGAGAACCTCTCCAAAGGCACCCTTTCCAATCATGGTTAGAGGCTCAAAGTCATCAGCACCCATTTTCCGCCTCTGTAGTCGCATATATTCTCTTTCTTTTCTCTCTAGGTACTTGAGAATATTGTTCTGCTCTTCCTGAGACACCTCAGAATCAGCCAGTTTTTTCTCTAGCATGTTACGCCTAAAAAGAAACAGAGTCAACATTATATTTCCATATTTTACAACACAAAATCTCAGATGTAGGCAACATGTATATTTGTTTGATTGAGATAAAGATCCTCTGCAATGACAAGAAAAAGAACTATACGAAGAGCAATTATTTATTTATTTATTTATTTATTTATTTATTTTTTGGTTTTTTTAGTTTTGTACTACTCTTGTGGGACAAAGAATAGGCATGGAGAAACGCAAATTGACGACCGTATATGCATCTTTCATATTTTTACCATACTCTCCAGATGATATTTTCATTTCCGTATATCCCATTAGCTAGAAATCTGAAAACCAGTTATTCTATCTAAACGATTTCCTACTTCGAAAAATAAACACTACAGGTCTAACTTACCAGGTCCATTATATAGTATCCTTCAAGTAACTCATTGTTAGCTCTGGTGACATTATCACCCACCAAAACAGAATCGTAATCTACTTTTTCGGATACTCTTGCCTCTTGGAATTTTCAATTACCTACCATTGCCAGATCAGGATGAACTATGAAGTCACCCATGAGTTATCAATTGTTCCCAGATTAATCAGCCATAAAATTTTATGAAAATTACTTCTTTCATGTACAATATAACCTGCACTTCTTTTTGTTTGTGACATACTTTCTAGTTAAAATTTACTGCTGACCAGCAAAAGTAAATGGTACAAATAAGAAAATGGAACAAAAAGTAAATGACCATATATATAACTATGGAAAACAGATATGTAGACTTAGCGATACACTAACACAAGTCAGTATCCCTGCCTAATAATAGATGCTCCCCAAATTATCTGCTTCGTGAATAATCATTTCACACATCCCAAACTAACTATTTGTAAAGTTAAATGACTTCACTACAGGCAACAACCTGATAGAATACTGTCAATCGTTCAAGAGACCACAATAGCATTAAAGAACAATGCATTGGCAGATTTGGTGCCAACATAACTTTCTAATGAATTTTAAACCAAAAACAATTCTCAATTTGAGAAAATCATTCCCACAATGTCTAAGAAAAAGCAAAAGAGGGAAAAAATGAAAAAAAATAATCTAAAACCCCAGCAGCTAATGTACAAAATATCTGATGGCAAAGCAAACTAATATAGCACAACAATGAGGGGGTTTAATGTATAACGGCACAAGAAACAGAAGGTCATTGAACTCCGACTGGGCACAGAAAAAGAAAAGAAATCATAGCCAGTGAATAGACAAAAAAAAAAAAAAATGTGTCATGTAAACATAGGACACTGCATAGAGAATACATCCAAAAAGAGTAAAATGGAAATTCAAAATACGAGTTCATACCGCTCCCTCCTTTCCTGCATACTCTTCATCTGATCCTTGTAATGCTTTTCTATATACTGCTTGGCAGCTTCTACCTTCTGCTTAGTGGCATTTGAAGGAGTTTCCTCATTCAATGGTACTTTTGAACTTTCCTTCCCATTAGGTTTAGGCTCATTCTTCTTGCTTGAAGCCTTGGACTTCTCTTTGGGGTGGAGCTTTCCAAACCAACGTTTCGCAGCTTCCATACCCACTGTTTTTCTTGTCCAAAGCTGAGGCACGAATTCTGTATGTATAAATTTAGCGTCTTAAATAATTTTTGCTCTTCACTGTTGATCTTGAAATACTTCAGTTACACTGCCACATCCTCACTCCTCGGAGCATTTGATGGAAACCAACTCATTGATGCTGCACGAGGGAACAAATGAAATATACAAAAATGATTTAGGTTAGAAATCTTCATAGTAAAGAGATCCATTTTTTATTAGAAAGACGAGAAAATACGAAGCTTCCATCATATTACTATGACTGGATTTTCATACCATTTACAATTAACTACCCAATGCGTCGATTTTCTGTTTTATCAAAGTATATCTTCTTTACTCATAAAATTAAGATAATCGAGGTATACACTTATCCACCCACTTCAAATGCTCCAAAAACTCAGAAAACAATCAACTCAAATATGCACTGAACCTAAAAAAAATGGCAACTTCAGACAGCAATTATAGTAGCAAACAAAGTTAAGAATAGATCCTCCAAATCGAGAAAGCCAATAAGGCAAAAATGGCAACAAAATCAACGTCAAATAAAGCAACCATGAGCAACCAGACAACCAAACGAGGCAACAATTCCCATTATTCCGCAAACAGAAATGATACTAAAAAAAACTAAAAACCCAGCAGCCTCCGATCGATCCCATCAAACCGATCCAAATTTGAAGCAAATAGAATATATATAGTAAATAAAAATCAAAACTTTGCATCTAAAAACGGATCCCAAACCTCAAAAAGTTCAAAATTTATCCACCAGAAGTTTGAATCCAGAAACCTGTTGATTGACGAGTGAAGATAAAACTACAACATCTCAAAGTGAGGATTAAAGTGAGATAACAACGCCAGTAAAATGATTCTTTCAAAACCCTAACTTTCTTCACACACTCAGAGAGCGAAAGAGAGAGAGGTGGTTGGAGAACAAGACCGCAATCGAGACTTTTATGCTTCAGATGGCATCATCACTCGCCATTAAAGAGAGCGAAGAAAGGTTTTTGGCCTATGTTAATTTTGGAACCTTTTTCTTTATTTCTTTTGTTTTTTGTCTTTTTTTTCTATTTTTATTCAGTAATGTAATTGAAGTGTTTTAGCTGAGTTGTAATAATTCATTTAACTGCAAAGTCCGTTGAATTTGTCGCGCTACGCGTTTTCTTCCTTTCTTCACCCAAATCACATTTTTCTACTGAAACATAAGTCCAAGCCAGCAACAGTTATTTTCTAACCAAGTTGTTCTAATTGTTAGAGAGATCCATTCATCATAATTATATAACATAACATATATGTATATGTATATATGCTATATAAATTGTTTATGTTGCTTTTTTCAATTTTAATTTAAACTTATGCATATTTATTGAAAAAATGTGATTGTGTGTGATCACAATTTTTAATGTAAGTCGGTCAAACTATTAAATGAGTCGATTAACACAACATGCATAATTATATTGTAGAATGTCATATTTTATTTATACTATATATTGTAATATAATATTTCAATCTGAAGTGATGCATGTCTAATAAAGAAACAGTAAGTCTTGCATTAGGCGAGTGTAACTATTAAACCAATATGCTATTTTCACAAATATTCATACTTTCTTTAAAAAATGTCATATTCTAAAAAATATCATAAACATAAGGATGATAAAATATTATATTTGATAATATACGTATAATTTTTTTCATACAGTATGTCGGATCGACCTGCCTAACGAATTTTATAATAAAAAATTATGTAAAAGTTTATGGTCATGTAATAATTTAGTTCATAGTATAAGGATCCTTATAGTTATCCATGCATTAATCAAACAAGTTTTGACCTTAAATTGTTTTTCTTTAATAATAAGCTTACATCCTACAATTAGACCATATGATGGTACAGTTGACTTACAGGCAAGATTTTAATTTAGAATTTGAACTGCACAGTATAATCCAAAACAATATACAGACATTACATGTGTATCCTACTAGTTTGTTTAGCTTAAGGAACCATATATTTATTTATTTATCGTTTTTTTTCTTATGGCTACTTGTGATACACTATACTCTTGATTTTTAATTAATTGAAAAAGTCTCCTACATATGACCACATACATTATACTCAAAAGAGTAACTGAAAATTAGGAAATCAGAATCTTGAATTGGAAAGAAGAAGGAATCGAAGTTTTGGCACATGGATGCATAAGCTGGATATCTTGCTAAGATATATGGTTCTGGATTTATTTATTTTCTATTATTTTAAATATTCACATTTATTGGGTAATCTCAATTTGGATTCCCATGTTGGAAAGTAAATGAACAAAATATAAACAATGCAATAGTGCACTTATAAATCATATTCCCTTATATATAACTACACAAAAAACTACACAAAAAGCATTGAGCCCTAAGTGACAGTTTCATATGATTTGTAACCTTATTTGTCAAAATATTAAGTTTTGTTATATGGCTCGGATAAAAATTACTATTTTTTTTACCAAATAGCTTAGGTTTGGATTGCTAGAAATACGCATATTTAATATATGTAAATTATTTCATATAAATCTATTCGTTATCTTCTTTCTATATTGTGTATATTATATTACTTTCTAAATTTTGTATTTTGTTCATTTTATTTTCTTATGTGTTTTAAATAAACATTTTATAAATAAAACTAATGATGTATATAAATTAGTTCTCAGAATTATAAATAATATTATTAATTCACTTAATTATAAATTATAATTTTTTATATATTATTCCTTATTTATTTTTTTCAACTTCAACCAAAATATATAAATATTTTTTTCTTTCGTTTTTTGTTGTATATTTAATATTTTATCAAACATCTGTGTAGTACAAGAGTATCGTACTAGTATTGGTATATGTCCTACGATATTTATGACAAATGTCAATACATTATTGAATGACTCCAAAATTTATAAGTTAAAGATATACAAATAACCATTTAATTACAATATAGATTAAGACCAAAACATGAAATTATATTCAGTTTAGGTTCTGACTTCTGAGGTTTAATAAATGGGTGGCTGTAATTATATAAACTAGGTATAGTTTTCTCATTTCAGCTTGTTGGATTTCAGATTAAAATACTTCAAATGCAAGCATTTAATTTAGTTTAGTGAAATTTGCCTGAATAAAGGTACATTGCCGTAAATAAAATTAAATTATTAAATTCTTGCAGTCAAAGTGATCTATAATCATTTCAGTTGTTCAGCATTTGAGTTTGTGGCCCATGGCCTAATGGGAAGTTCTCTATTCGAATTCAGCACATCATGCTTCATTGCTTTGCATAGGGAATTAAATCATTAAATTAAGTCAATTTATGGGTTTCATCATTCAGGTTGTAGGAGAATAACTGGAAATATTGAAAAAACAGTTTAATTATACATTTTTTTTATTATTATTTTTTTTCGACAGTGGAAACCAACATTTTGAGACAAAACTAGTAATTGCCCGTGCGATGCACGGGATGGTATATTTCTAAACATTTTTTAATATTAAATATTAAATTTAATGAATTTGTTATACTTGTAACAAAAGTAAAACGTTGGGCGCAAACTACAAAATTCATAAATTATTGAAAATTGTTTTGTACACAACGTTTTTCGTTTGATTTGGCGGCGAGTCACCGTCACTACAAACTAAAATTTTCAATTAATTTTGAATTTGGAGATTGCATCGCATGGGTACCGTATGTACTTGTTATATTCGTGGAAGATTGCATCGCATGGGTACCGTATGTATCTATTAATTGTATATATTAATTTATATCTTATAATATGGTACTCTACCAAATTTTAGTTAATTTATAGTACAAGTAAAAAAAAATTTAAAATCTATATATGAAAGATTCCATACTTAAATGTATTAATATTGTACGTAAATATTAATTGCAATATCTCCTACATATATTCGGAAATAATAAAACTGGTTGATTACACAGTTAAAAATTATGGAATGCATAACAAACTCTATAAACGTGTATATTAATTGCAATTTACCCTACATATATTAGAAAATAATATAACTGGTTTACTATTGCCTTCAACATTTGAATATCAATTTATTAATTTATATCTTATAATATGGTATACTACCAAAATTAAAGATTTAAGGTAAATTAGAGTTTTTTTTAGGTAAATTAGAGATTGTTTGGTAACTATAATTTTGAAGCCAAATTGGAGATTTTTTACCCGTCATATATTTTTATATTTTGTCAAGTAGCAATTTAAAGTAGTTTTTTTTATCAANAAAAAAAAACATGAAAATAAAATAAAATAGCATTAAACCAGAGAGACAAACACACTCCCACAAGAAGATAAAAATACCCCCAGCCATATTTGGTAGTGCACAAAATTATTAGAAATTTCACAGTAGCATCTATAATTCCCAACAATAAACTACACAACACCAAACAAATCAAAAATAACTATAAAAATTATATTTAAAAAATACCCAAAAAAAATAAAAATGACAAGAACAAACAGTCCATCACTTGTCTACTATAGAGCTTAAATAACCCAAAAACACTGGAAACAGCAAGCTGGATAAAAGAACTAAAATAAACATCACACCCTCAACTCTTGGTATATTAGCTTCTTAGACCCAAGAGAAAGGCTAAAAAAAAAAAAAAAAACTCCAAATCATTCTTACTCTGTATCTCGAATGCTTTCGCTCGTCAACCAGAGCTTCTTTTGGGCCAGGAACACGATCTCATCTCCATCTTGGCCGTTATCCAAGCTCGAATCAGCAGTTGCAATTGCTTCCCAGTGCAATGCAGTCAAATACTTCTTGACGAAATCCACAACCGATTGTCTATCCCGAATGATAACAAAGCCCGTGGGCCTAAGAATTCGGTCCATCTCGAGCAGTAGGTCCTCACCACTGCATCCTTTCTTCTCTATGTCGGAAAATACAGTCCATGCATGGAGCAAATCATAAGTCCTCGGGTATGTAGAATACGCTTCACACCTGGAAATTGAATAAATAAAAAAAATTGTGATATCAATCTTGAGGAATTTTTGGGTGATTAATCGTGTAATTTTGTAATAACTTTTATTGGCATATATATGTATGTACCAGTTGTGGACTGAGCCAATCAAGCCTCGATCGTAGACAATTTTGAGGGTTTTGGGCCCGTCTTCAGGCACAACATTCATCACCCAAACATTCTTGTCTTTCAGGGCAGCAGCAAACGAACCCAAATTTGCCTTCATATCCATTATGTTACGTATTGTATCGGATGAAATTTTTGGGCTCAAGAGGCTCCAGTAATTGTCTACTCTCTGTCTCCACAGTTCCTGCTCAAGCC